AGGTGGAGGTATGCACTTGAAAGAAGAGGAATGAAAGAGCCGTAGTAAGACAGAGTAGATGCATGTGAATGAGAGGGAGGCAGGTGGAACAGTGAAATGGGGAATGTTGTAAAGAAGTAAAAAAGAGAGTCCAGGCAGGATGGAGTGGATGGAGAAAAGTTTCAGGAGTGATTTGTGACAAAAGGGTGTCAGCAAAGGTCAAAGGAAAAGTTTACAAGACAGTGGTGAGACCAGCTGTATTGTATGGTCTGGAGACAGAGATCTGGACAAAAAGGAGAAAGAACTGGAAGTGTCAGAAATGAAGATGTTGAGGTTCTCCTTAGGAGTGACAAGGATGGAGAAGATTAGGAATGAGATCATCCGAGGTACAGCACAGGTTGAGCAACTGAGAGATAAAGTTAGAGAGGACACACTGAGATGGTTTGGACATGTCCAGAGGAGGGACAGTGGGTATACTGGTAGAAGGATGTTAGAAATGCAGCTGCCAGGAAAAAGACACAGAGGAGATATATGGATCAGTTAGAGAGGACATGGAGGTAGTTGGAGTGAGGACAGAGGATGCAGAGGACAGAGTGAGGTGGAGGAGGATGACTCGCTGTGGCGACCCCTGAAGAGGGAAAAGCCGAAAGAAGAAGGAGCTTGTAAATCTTGTGAGTTGTGTTTTTTTGGCCTTGCTTTGAAGGTGAAGTTGCTTATTTGGGCTTGACTTTCTTTCCGAGTGAAGCTAGTTGATTATCTCCCAGCTCCACACAATGTTTTTCATTTAGGCTTTATTTATACAGGTAGTCTCTTTGAGTCACAAGAACTCATTTTCAAGAGAGACCTGATTAGGGAACAGATGGTGGAGGTTAAGGGCCTTGCTCAGGGGCCCAGAGTGGGGTGAAAGAGGCTGGAGGCAGGTGTGGGTGTTTCACCTTTTCCACCCACATTTTTGACGTTGACGGTACCGGGAGTTGAACCTGCGACTTTCCGATCACAGGCTCTTCTCTAACTTCTGCGCCACCACTCCCCACAATAAAGCAGAAGACGAGTGATAGTCGGTAGTTTGTCCCTTCCACGCCGCCGTTTCCTGTTTATCACTTCCGCCCAAGTTGACGAGGCGACAGGCGCACAAACACTCATACTGTGGCCGACCACTAGGGGGCTCCACTCACACGCAGATGTCAGGATGTTTTGTTTTTAAAAATATGTAGAAAAAATATGATTTTTGGCATAAAAGTATGCTATTCAAAATGTTTAGCATAATTTTGCTGTTGTTTATGTGTAATGCCGTAACAAATGTATGTTTATACTGTTTAAAAACGGCCTCTGTTTTACGCAATGTGGTGGGTTGCCAGTTGGGCTTTTTTTGGGCTCGTTTTCATAGAGCTGGTTGCCTGTTTCTATCACAAGATCTGGCAACAGTGTGTATGCTGTTAGTGGAGAATCAGTTTTATTTGGTGGTTCCTCAGACTGAAGAAGTCCATTGGATGATGGACAAAACGTCTCAGCACAATAAATAAATAAATAAATAAACAATCCAGATGACCTGACTGAACATTGTTGGATTTTTACCTGGATTGTTGAGCATGAACTTTGGTGGACTATTTTATAAACCTTATAAACTCACACATCCATCCATCCATCCATTATCTTTACCCGCTTATTCCATTTTGGGTC